GAGTCGTATAATTTTACAAAGATCTGTCAAATATTCATCTCAAAGATGTCAACAATCAGCGATTTAACCAATCATATCATGATACCAGGAGCTGGTATCCTAGAACGGCGGCATCACTAGAATGTCTGCAGGCTCCCTCGCTTCGTTCGGGCTCACCGGGAGCCGGGTAGTGTTTACTTGTGTTCGTAGTGAATCAGATTCCTTCAGAATAACACAAGTGAAGGCGGAAGACTATAGGAATGAGCTTTTGAACCTCGTAATACATTAAGTTTTAATTTACCTCCATTTAAGTTCAGATGACTGAAATTAGAACTTGAAATTACAATGTTATTTAGAGTATTTAGGACCACGACATAGGTGTAAGTTATCTTTGCACCAAAATAAACCTTTGATTCCTCGTTTAAAAACTGTTTAATTTACCCTCGTTTAAGTTCAGAAGACTGAAAATGGAACTTGAAATTACAATGTTATTTAGAGTATTTAGGACCACGACATAGGAGTAAGTTATCTATACACCAAAATAAACCTCATTCCTCGTTTAAAAACTGTTTAATTTACCCCCGTTTAAGTTCAGAAGACTGAAAATGGAACTTGAAATTACAATGTTATTTAGGGTATTAAGGACTACGACTTAGGTGTAAGTTATCTTTACACCAAAATAAACCTCATTCGTCCTTTAAAAACTGCTGTAATATAATTGTCTTGTGCTTAGGTATCATCCATTTGTCTCCCGCCCCAGTAAATTTTTTTTTTAAAAGTCACGCTAAAGATCCACTTCAGGGAAACAATAGAAATTGTACAGGTGGTGGTAGAATTCGAATGTCATTAAAATCTTGCTCGCGTTGTTGTCCCATGTCAAACTGAACATGGTAAGCTGATTTCAAGCAGCCTGTATTCCGTCTAAGTACTGTTCCAGGGAGGTAACTTGAGTATCCGGGATAGTAACCAATCACACGCTGCGTTGCATGCACGTGACTGTACTTTGGGATTATGTCCAGGACAATGGCTCTTTGGTCGCTAGCTTGATGCGAAATGGATCCTGATTGGTCCAGTTGCACCTCAATGTAAAGCGTATCGCCATGGTAACCTGTTCTTTTCACGAAACCGCGATGGTAGAGATTGTCATTTCCTCGAGCAAAAACACGAGCTCCGACTGAAAAATGATTGAAAAACAGGATCTTTAGCCGAGATAATTTTTAATTACTTTAGGTGATTCGTAATTGCTTTGATTTTGCTTTCACAATAACCTGTGACTCGTTTAAAAAAAAAAAAAGACTAACGCCACCTAGAGTGGTCTTCAATCCTCCGTAGGAAAAAAGATGGCGTCTGTACATTTACCCACAATGCCATGCGACCCTTAGTACAAGGAAAACCATTTTTTGACAATATTTTTCCCTATGCTAACGAGGGTTTGAGGGTTTTAGAACTTTTCTGTTCGTTTTTTTGAGCGTTGTTAATCAGGCAATTACTTTGGTTTGGTTTTGGTTTGGTTTTTGGCATCTGAAGGCAAACGTCGAAGAGGACGGCCAAGACTGAGAGACGTGGCGAAAAACAGTCAACAAAGAGAGAGAACATCTCGGAGGGAAGCAGAAGTAGCGGCAAAAGACCGAGTTGCTTGAAGGAGAAGGATTCATGGCCCCATTCTCCACAAGGAGAGAAAGTAAAGATGATGATGATGGTTTTTGGTTTCACGACACTCGAATGAAAACCGCTCTATTCAACCAATGAGAAACAAAACGAAACCCAATCGCGATTTGGTCTCAGTCATTTTTCCCGCTCTTGGCGCGGGTCACTTAAATATATATAGAATTGTGATTGGTTGATTGTGTTGTCTACGTCCCCTATAATTGGCCGTTACAAATGTTTTGGTTTTAGTTTTACCACACTCAGTTGAAACTAGTTCTTTCAGTAGCATACAATGAAATTAATACCTTGATGAACTGAGGAGAAGAAAGGCAGCTTTCGTAGCTTATCGATCGTATAGTTGCCGACTTGGTGATCGCGGTCCAAAGTAACCTCATAATACTCCTTGTCTTGTCCTCGACATAAATCATCAGATACAAAGCCAACAAGGTATTGCTCGCTCGCACTTGCAGCGGGTGACACCGCGAGAACGTGATCACCTATGTTAATCCAAGCCGGTATAGAGTCGGGTGTAACTGCTGTTTTATCCTCATAGCTGTACTCCGTTGTATCTCCACTGTCGAATTTGAGCAGAAATGTGAATTCTCTATCCTCCGTCACGTTACCGTAAGAGTAGCTGCTGTCCCGTCTTCTTGCAAGAAAACGTTCGCCTGATGGAAATGTAAAAATGTTCAGAGGGAATTTAGATCATCAATGTTGCACCATAAATAATTAAGTTCCTCACTGTTAGCCAGTATTGTTTGCTGAAGGTTTGTTATAAGTTCTTCAGTGTTTTATCCTCCAGTGACTTTATCAGTGAAAGATCTCTTTCCATTTTAATGTAACCTCCGACATCACAAACCAGGTTGGAAGAATTCCTACTTTCAAAACTTTGCGTCTTTTAATGTAGATGTAGTGAAGTCCCTACAATTGAGGGAGGGAAAAAAACTGATAGAGGAGAGTCAGGGTGGAGATGACGAAGGAAGGAAGAAAGGGGAAGAGTCAGAATGGAAAAAAAAATGGTTCTTAAATATGAAAAGCTTATAGATATATCTAATATATTTATAAATAACATATTTATAAATATATCTTTAAATATATCTTTTATCAAAATATAAGATATATTTAAAGGGAAGTCCCGTGCCAGAGGTCATCTCTAGTTTCTCTAGCATGAAGCCATTAGGAGTATTTCTTCTAACCCTGCGTGGAATGCTAGTCCATTGTGCAGGTTAGGCCTCTAATTTTTCTCATGTTACCTCAACAATTTACATGGTATCCATTTCTACTCCTGGGCAGATCGAGAGAGGCACTGTGAGAGCTTTATGTAATGAGTGCAAAGTGTCTTGCTCAAGGTAACTACACAATCAACCCCACAACAGAGCCTTAATTCTAACCTGGATCTACGCTCTAACCATTGCACCTCCTCACCTCCTATGTTTCAATTATAGCCATAGTTTATACATTTACAGACACTGGTGGGTTTTTTTTACCTTTAAGTACAATAATCTCAGGCTCTTGACCGGCAACGAGCACCAGCGACAACAACAAGAGCCATGGCCTCTGAAGCAAAGCCATTATCAAGTTAGAAGAAGAATCTGGAACCCACTGCAAGGGATTGCATAATTAGTTTGTTTTTAGTGATCTTAATATCACATCACATCACTTACTTATATACCTAGCTGTTTTTGATAAATTACTGATCTTATTGATCTTTTTTTAATACTTTCTCATATATGCACATACGCATTTTAACCAGACGGTGACACAACATAAAAAGGGTCAACCTTTATTGAAATCCTAAACTCTCGAGCCAGCATTTTTAAGCTGGTTCACATGTTTAATTTGAATGTGTTTCGGATGGATTCATAGCAACATCAATCTTTTTTTCCAAATTAGAAAACCTAAACTACGGATATTTAAGTTCAGCTTCTGATGGTCTGAAATTGGAGAAAATTTGACCACAGCTCAACATAGATGTTCCTATATAAGGTCGGAACTGAGGCTCTAATGAAAGACCATGAAAACGTCCGGATTGTCCACGCAAAATCCTTGATAGTGAGGGGAATACTAGGACGAACAAATGTAGACCAGTCTTACTCAAATAGTTTGATTTAAATTCTAAGCTGTGCACGAAGACTCATTTTCTCACAACTCCTTGAGAATAATATTCTGCCCATAAATGGAAGAACTGAGCAAGAAAAAGTTATAAAATCTGAGGTGAAAATTACCATCTACCTGGAAGGACTAAGCTTTCTTTCCCTTTGAGTTCTGAAATAAACAATTTACCATATCGCAGCCGAGTGTTTCTTTTTCTCTTATGAAATTGTTCAAATAGTAAGATCGAAAAAAACAAAAAGACAAGAAAACAATTCGCCATTTCCACATGCCCCATAATACACCTTGTTTGCCCCCCAAAATTCTGCATAACCTTTGTTTCCCATTTCTCCTGGGTATTACAGTGGACCCATGAGAAACTGAAGACAAGGCTTATGCAAAATTTTGAGGGGCAAACAAGGTGTTTAATGGGGGACGTGGAAATGGCGAATGAAACGAGAAAAAATTGAATCAAATTTACACTTCTTTAGTAATGATGCGGAAAAGGCGAATGACAAATGAAAATGTTAACTTTGTAAAAGGCTATGGGAGACAGTAGCCGGGAACGAATTTACCAGCAATGATAACCCAACTGGTCTGATAAAACGTAAGAGTTAGTGTAAACACATACGTTTGTCGATGGTACAGACACCGCGCCATTGATGACTGTAATGCAACTTAGAATAAATGACCGTACTTGAAAAAGATTACTTAGTCGCGTCAGTCGGAAAAGAGTTGAGTTTTGTGAAATAAGGAAAAGCGGGCAACCCGATGTTAAACTCGTCCCTATTCAGAAGGATCAACTTAAAACCCGTTTAGTAAACGCTTTTCGATCCTTTCATCCATAATACTGAATAATTTTTGAATGGCGTTGGCTCTTTCAATAACACTTACAATGACTACTGAATCATGCATATAACTGTCTAAACGCAACATTAGGGTGTCGAAACTTACCACGAACAAGCACTTTCGGCTAATTTTGTATTTCTTACCTGCTACTTGCTTCGAGGGAGTAGAGTTTCCGATAGAAACAATTTCATCTGGTCAATACAGGGAAATTACATTACCTGGCTGTTTGTTCAACGAGCTAAAATGTCAGGTAATTGCCAATGGGAAACCAGTAATGCAATATGCCACACCTGCTCTTGTCAAGTTTCAAAACTGGCAAAAGAATTCTTTAAATCAATTTATCTGAAGAAGAGTCAGTGAACGCTTTTAATATCCAAAACGTTCGTTGAAAATTTTGGGTTTGTTTTCTAGAGGCTTTATCACCCAAAGTCAACTTACCGCTTACATACCTTCAATTAATTGGTTATATTTGAAGAGCCAGTTCAAACACTTTGTGTAATTTGACAGGTTTTGTTCCGGCAGCACACGGCCATTATTAATAGTTCCCCTGTAAGGAAGAAACTTTAAGAAACCCTGCTTAACTGACCGCATCAGACTTGTCAAATAAGTTCTTAGAAATGAATTTTTTTCAGTAAATTGTCCTATTTGTGCAGATGATGATTAGAGAGCTTTTCTCTTTGGAACATTTTTGCAGACATACGTTTGTGATCTTGGCAACGAGATGCAATTTGAAGTTTTGCCCACGCCTAATGTAATTAAGTGAATCACTTTCAAGGACCAACGCTACGGATGTAGCCTAAGTGCTTCAAATTGGTCTTTCATAATGCCTCTCATTCTTTCCAATATTTAACAATCCTTGCCCTTTTTTTTTTTTTTTTTTTTTTTTT